CTGGGGAATTCTGGGAATTGAAGTCCACACATCTTAAAGTGGCCAAGGTTGAAAAACACTGACATAGCCCATACTAACTACCCCTTTGGCAATGATACTCTAAGCTCCTAAGCCCTGCATGCTTCATTCGTGCTTTAGGCAAGCTGGGGTTAGATCCAACATTAAACATATTTTCTTTCTTAAGGCAACCAAGACTACAGCATATAGTTCTGGAATATTCTCTTTCTCCTACCCTGCCCCATTCATTACATCTTGTAACAGGTTCTGTAGCTTGACTAAGCTTTAAATGATAAAATAATGTTTTCTTCCCTTCAATGGGTCGCTCACAATCAAACCAGCCAGCTCTCTTAACTACGGGCATCTCTCCAATTGTACCTAACCACAGTACCAACATGCCTTGGCAACCACTTTCTTTCTGCTGTGTTTCCATGGTGTAACTTTCATCTAATCCTCAGCCCTTGACAGAAACAATTTAAAGTTGTGCTTGACTGAACTGGTGTAAAAACAGTGCTTTCCCCATATTCTGACACCATCCAGTGACAGCCTCAAGAGGTGTAAAATCCATAAGCTTTGTCACCCATTTCCTTGAAGGGAAGTCAGATGAGGCACAATAAGGACTGGGAATGAGGTCAGCAAATATGTTAGTATAGTTTTCTGCCAACTCAAGTGAGGATAAGTAAGTAAGTAAGAAGTTTATTGTTGTAATCATAGTTCATAATATATGCTCAAGTGAGGGTCGTTGGCACTTTGATTTGGCAATGGGGAAAGGCCCTAAAAGACTGAGTTTGCATTCATTTCTGGCATTTTTGATCAGGGGCTTCTGTGCCGATGGTCACTGGCTTTGAAATGGCAGGTATGGCTGGGCAATCAAAGCCCCAGTCCTTTTTACATGCCTACAGTACATGTGATTCATGTTAAAAAGGGACGGGTTTGGGTTGCCTGGTTGGCTCCACCATTTTGAATCCAATGACTGCCAATGTGGATCTCCCTGTTTCTGACAGATTTGTCTATCACTCTGTAGAACTGAATACCATAGCATATTAATGTAGCTCTGGCTTAAGAATTTCCATAAGGAGAAGCAGTTTAGCAGTTGAAGCCCTTATCAGTTAAGGAAAAAAACATGTATTAGAAAGAACATGGAACATCCTGAACTTAGTAGGCAAATGGCATTTTTAGGTACTTGTTGCTAAGTATGTAGGAGACATAAAACTTGGCAAGGTTGTATAGAATTTCAAAAGAGAACTAAATTCTCAAAGCAACACAATTTGTGCACTTAATTTTTTATCACGTTAGATCATTTCCAGCTAACTGCCCTATATTTTTTCATGTATTATCATGCTCAACTTCTGTGTTGCAATTACTCTGCAAAGATTTGGGAGCAGAAGACATAATCTGGTTGTACGGGAGCCTCGTGCTTTGTGTGGAGTTTATATCTGGAAATTACTAACAATTATTTAAAAAAGGAAAGAAAGACAAAGCAGGAGCCCACCTGGAGTAGGCAGCCTGGGGTTGTCTCCGAAGTGAAACTTGATGCTTTTCAGCAAAGACACACCTCTTTCAGGATGTTATGCAAAATTCTCTATTTCAAAAGAAAGGACAGGAAATATGAAAAGCAACAGCCAGAATCCAGAGTGACACTGTCACTGAGGTTGACGTTTATCAGCTCTTGACAAAAAAAATTAAAATTGGAGGCTTGCAGGGATGGAACCATTGGCATAAATGCCCTGAAATTGTTAGAAGGCTGGATTTTTAGGGACGTTGCTGCCTCTCTACTAGCAGGTTCTTACAGCATTAACATTTTTCCTGCAGTCTGGTACAGCTCTTTTGCTCTTTTTCCTCCCCCCCACCCCCCTGCTTCTCATGCCTGATTATTTTCTGACTACAGTGGGATGAGTCTGTTGCAAAAGATTCTGATTTCTTTGGTAGGAATGGTCTTGGCCTTCTATTTTTATTCAGGAAAGGAAGAATTTAAACCTGGTAAGTTATTTGAAGTAAAGGCATTTTTAAATTGAAAGGAAGGGGAGGGGAAAAAAGAAGGGCGCTTTGATTTTAGAAACACACGAACTGGTTCATAGCCTACAATGAACCCTGCCTTCATTTTTGTATTGTTGGTGATGGATGGCTTTGCCTAGGAAGCTTCTACAAGCCATCAAGCCACAGGCAAGTAGATTTTTCCCCCAGCCAGCAGGTAAGATGGGAAATCTTTTTGGATTTTTGTTTTTGTTTTGGATTTTCTGAAGGATTTTGATATTGTCTGTTCAAAACAGGCTTTGTGTTTATGAACAGTCCCTGAAAAATACGCTCAGTTGTATGATTGTTTTAAAAACGTTTGTACCTGAAATGCACAAAATGGGTTAAAATTAATGTCTAATTATATACTGAGAAAGAAAAAGAGAGGGAGGGGAAAAAATTATTTTGGTGTTATTCTGTGCCTCTTTGGAATTTTAGCAGTTCTTGTTCCTGCTGCTTTCTTGTGAGTTGGACGGCTACGATGAACAACTGATTTGAGGGCTTATCCTCTTAAGTTTCTTGCCCTTCAGGCATTTATTTGGGGGAACGG